CCCGACCCCGACTAAACTCGCTCGCCCCGACTAGCTCCGGCCCCCGACCCCGAGCCGCTCCGGCCCCCGACCCCGAGCCGCTCCGGCCCCCGACCCCGAGCCGCTCCGGCCCCCGACCCCGGTCCAGCCCGCCCCTCTTCAGTTTTCGTCGCGCCGCTCCAGCCCGCGTCCTAATCCCATATTAACTGTGAACCCAATACTGACTACAATACCTGCTCTCATTAACAGTCCTTTCCTCGGGCAAGCTCTTCCCCCATTCTTATTTTAAGACGGAGATGCCACTCAGGTGCTGCTGCTCCCAGAGCTTTTATACCGTCGGGGATTGGGCTGCTCCCTTTCCCCCGGGGCCTCACGGGAAGGGAGGTGGGCACGGCCAGGGGTATATTAACCCCAGCCTTTCCAAGGGAGGTCATTCAGCAGTCGGGCTTCAAAGAGGTAAGTGTTCTCCCTTTGTTTTCTTGAATGGGACTTTTCATTAAGGTATTTCTGTTTTATTGAAACTTGAGCTTTGGTGTCCAAAGATGCAGAGCTGTATATGCGTTGACGAGGATTACACTCAAATGCAGGGCTTTTAAATTTAATATTTTTGTGTTCCATAATGGTAAGATACATTTGTAATGTGTTATCTTTTTTCTTTCCCTTAGAAACCTTGCATCTTTTGGGATCTCCTGATCATCTCGACTGCAGTTTGGCATTTTTTCATCAGTGTTATCCAGTCCTCAGGTGAAGTTGCTCTGTGTTGAAGATGCTACAGACACCCAGGTGTGCAAGTAGTCAGTGGGGGGTTACAGCCCACAGATGGAGTGAGGGCTGGGGTGCCAGGTTAAGAATTGCCAGGGGTGTTTTGAAGGTAGTATGGGTGGAAAGCAGTGTCCAGGAGCCCCCTAAATGCCTGTGAAGGCACCCACTGACTTTTCAAATGTGCCACTTCAGTTTTCCTCTCCTTCCCCCAGATATTCTGTGCAATTACAGCTGCAGTCTTTGGCTGCAGGCAGTGACCCTGGGTGGTTTGCCAAAAGAGAAGGGAGACTTTTTCAGCTCTCCCCCTCTATCTGGGTGACTTTGGTTAGGGTTTCTTTACCATGTCAGAGGGACAGGGTGTAAAGCAGAGTTTGAACAGAACAGAGGCCAGAGGAGCAGAGCAAGAAGGTGGGTCATCACCTGATGGCAGCACAAAGATGTGGCTTCTGGCTCCACGTTTACTCACTGTGTTAAGCATTTTCTTGTTTTGCTTTTTGTTTTCAGCTGCAGAGCCCTGGCCCCAGGAGGCTCTAGGCACCGGAGGGGAGGTGATCCGGATGAGTCCCGGTGAGCAAGGTGAGCATTGACTCCAGGACAGAACTGGATGGTCTTTTACAGGTGTTGTGGTGAATCTGTGCACATGCTTTGTTTCTTGTGTTTTCCAGGGGTTCTGCCACCTTCTCACAGACAGTCCAGTGCTTCAGGGCCCCTGCTGGTAAGAGGTCACTGTGGAGGAGAGGTAGGTAGGAGGTACCCCAGGAAAGCCATCCTTTCAGGCAGTACCTCAGTCTGTACATTTGCCTTTGGCTTTTTTACTTTGCAGAGAATGTGTGCAGCCTCAGAGGGCTGGAGCCACCTGCCAGTTAGGTGTGATGGTCTTCAGCTGTCCTTGTGAGTAATCTCTTAGTACTACCAGGGTCATCAATTAAGGCTGGAGCTTTCCCAGTTGCAGGTGCCATCCAGCCTGCCTTTGGCCAAGGAGGAGCACTGAGGTTGAGTCAGGGAGGTAGGGAGGAGGTGCTGGGGTCTCCCTTACTTTCAGAAACACCCCATAACTTTTTTTCTCACTCCCCCAGGTACGGCACACGGTGATGGCAGCAGCCTCTGACTGGGGTTGGAGCCAGTGGCCCGAGAACCTCTCAGCTCAGGGGAGGGTGAGTAGCCAATTGCAGGGTTATCTCCCACGTGCTGCCCAACTCTTGTCTCAGTTTCTGTTTTCTTTCTCCCAGCGACCGAGTCAGGGATCACAGGACCCTCTGAGCCAGCCGGGCGTCCTTCCTTCACATCGAAGATGGATTCACATCCCCAGCTGTGGGAAAGATAAGTGGAGGGCTCCCACCTGGAGAGGGGATGGGAGCTGGGTCCAGTTTTATGGTTAGGAGGGAGGGATTGTCAAATGAGCAGAGGGGAAAGGGTCTGCCCTAACAGGCCCTTGGCACACATAGGAGGAGCAGTTTACTTTTCATCATGGAGTAGGATGTGCAGGGCAGAGCAGTTCAGGTCTGTGTCGTGTCCTTTGTCCGGTCTGTGTTTCGTGTCTTACACTTCACAGTCAGGGTGTCTTTGCTTCCTGCCCTCCAAGGTCTTATCTGAGATGCCAAGGCATCATTCCTAGAGTCTTGAACCTCTGCACTGCCCAGCCCAGTGCCCATACCATCCGTTCTTTGGCTCACTAGCTTGGACGTGCATCGGAATCGCATCTGAGAAGTGTCAGGTCAGGTGTCTTTTACAGCCTCCTCACAGGTTGTATCGGTGGCTGTGCCGTGCAGTCATCCCTTGTCATCCCACCTGGGACTTGTGAGAATCTAAGAAGATTCTGAGCATAGCCTTGTCTCCCATCCATCTCAGCAATTTTGTAGGCAGTTCTTGTCCCAGGCCATTCTGTTAGAGTGTCTTTTCAGGCTCCTCAGAGCCTCCTCCGTTCAGTCTCGCCGTATCCTCCGTCTTCTCGTGCGGCAGCACATCCGTTTTGGCGTCGTTCCTTTCTCAGAGCTCTCTCTCCTGGTTGCACCACAGCCCTTGTCTGGAAATGTGTCCTTGGAGTTTGTGTTGGGCCTGGAACTGCTCTGCCCTGCAGTGTAGACTTGGGGGTAGGTGGAGTAGAAAGGAGACCTCCCAGTTCCCCTGTGGATAGGCTCAGGCACTGAGGGCAGGGCCTTAAAGTGAGGTCAGTGTTTGTTTGTGCAGGTTGTCTTTGGACCCCAGAGGGCTTGTCTAAGGAGAAATTAGAATTGCACAGCAGTTAAGGTCCCCCTGTCTATGTGGCTGACTTTGCTAACTCATTTCTTTGCAGCATCAGATGGACTGGATGTAAAGCAGAGATGAACAGAGGAGGCTGGAGGAGCACAGTCAGAAGGTGGGTCCTCATGTGAGGTCAGAGCCAAGACATGACTTTTGGGCCTAGGTTTACTTGATCATTTGGATGGTTTGGTGGTTTAGTTTCGGTTTTTTGGTTTTTTTTAAGATGCAGAGCCCTCGGCCCAACAGACGACAGGCACCAGAGGGTAGGTGAGCCCGGTGAGGAAGGTGAGCAGTGACTGCAGGAGAAAACTAGCTTCTCTTTTGCAGGTGGTGTACTTGTGGTGAATCTGTGTACATACTTGGTTTTTTGTTTTACAGGCAGTGCACAGACTTCTAACGCGCAGTCCAACGTGACGGGGACCCTGCCTGTAAGAGGTCACGGTCAAGGGGTGTCAGACAGAAGCTGCCACGGGAGCAGCAAACTCTTGGGCAGTATCTCAGTACTCACAGTTGCCTCTGGGTTTTTTTGCAGGAGATGTACACAGCCTCACAGGGCCGAAGCCAACTCACAGTGAGGTGACGGACACAGTTTGGTCCTCTGGAGCTGCCCTTGTAGGTGATCTCCGAGTATTGAAAGGATCAGCAACGAAGCACTGAGCTTTTTGGATTGCAGGTGCCATCCGGGTAACCTTTGGGAGCAGATGAGCATTGGAGGTGAGTCGGGGAGGCAGCAGGAGGAGCGGGGATCCACTGCAGCTTTAGAGATGCCCTCTAATTTTGTCTCTCTCTCTCTCTCTCTCTCTCTCTCTCTCTCTCTCTCTCTCTCTCTCAGGTATCCCAGAAGATGACAGCACGTTGTCCAAGTCTGGTCAGAGTCAGCGACCCAAGGACCTGCCTGGGTGACAGTGAGTAGAGGGATCGTGGGGGCTGGGGCCTCGTGCCACACTCCTCAGATCTGGTGTCTGGTTTTCTTTCTCACAGCTGACTCCGAGTAGTGTGACGATGGCAGGAACCTCTGAGGCAGCCCTGGTGCCCCTCCTGTGCATCCAAGATGGATTGGCATCCCCTGCTCTCGGCAAGATAAGTGCAGGGCAAAGACCCAGAGAGGGGTTGGGAGTGGGTGCAAGTGTGTGCCTCACCTGGAGGGATTTTTGCAATTAGTCCGGTGCAGGGGGTATCCTGGAACAGGTTATTTGGACACATCAAAGGAAGGGCTTACTTTTTATCATGGGATTCCCGTGTGCAGGGCAGAGCAGTTCCAGTCTGTGTCATGTCCTTTGTCTCGTCGGTGTTTGGTGTCACGTGGTGTGTGTGGTCACAGGTGTGGGGTGTGTCACTTGGGGTCAGCCTGGACCTGCTCTGCCCTGCTCCGTGGATCAGTGGGTAGATGGAATGTGCTCCGAGTCTCAGGTCAGCATGTCAGTTCCCTTAGACAGTGGAGCCGATGGCTGTCCAGTCTGTGAGCAGGATGGTCTTGCGCTGCCCTGCTGGGGTGTATGGAGTCCTGGCTGGGTAGAGTAGGAACCAGTGTCTAGGGTTTAGAGGTTTTTAGCTTTCCTTGTGAGCAATCCCTGAATGTTTGAGAGCTGAGTGTTTGAGCATTTGCCCATTTCTTTTGCAGGGGGGGTGTTGGGAGCAGCTGAAGAGAGAGGAGCCTTGTAGGTGAGTTGGGGAGGCAGCAGGAGGAGCGGGGATCCCCTGCAACTTTAGAGATGCCTTCTAAGTTTGTGTCTCACTCACCCAGGTATCCTGGAACGTGACATCCACAGTGTCCGACTCCGGTCAGGGCCTGGGTGCTGGTGAGTAGGGGGATCACTGGGGTTTGAGCCCCATGCCACACAACTCAGGTATTGCTTGTGGTTTTCTTTCTTGCAGTTGACTCTGAGTAGTCTGATGATGGCAGGAACCTCTGAGGCAGCCCTGGTGCTCCTCCTGTGCATCAAAGCTGGATTGGCATCCCCGGCTCTCGGCAAGATAAGTTCAGGGCAAAGGCCCAGAGAGGGGTTGGGAGTGGGTGCAAGTGTGTGCCTCACCTGGAGGGATTTTTGCAATGAGTCCGGTGCAGGGGGTATCCTGGAACAGGTTATTTGGAGACATCAAAGGAAGGGCTTACTTTTTATCATTGGATTCCCGTGTGCAGGGCAGAGCAGTTCTGGTGTGTGTCACATCCTTTGTCTCGTGCGTGTTTGGTGTCACGTGGTGTGTGTGGTCACGGGTGTGGGGTGTGTCACTTGGGGTCAGCCTGGACCTGCTCTGCCCTGCTCCGTGGATCAGTGGGTAGATAGAATATTGCTCCGAGTCTGACATCAACGTCAGTTCCCTTAGACAGTGGAGCCGATGGCTGTCCAGTCTGTGAGCAGGATGGTCTTGCGATGCCCTGCTTGGGTGTCTAGAGTCCCGGCTAGGTAGAGTAGCAGAGAGTGTGTAGGGTTTGGAGGTTTTTGGCTTTTGTTGTGAGCAATCCCTGAATGTTTGAGAGCTGAGTGTTTGAGCATTTGCCCATTTCATTTGCAGGGGCGGTGTTGGGAGCAGCTGAAGAGAGAGGAGCCTTGTAGGTGAGTTGGGGAGGCAGCAGGAGGAGCGGGGATCCACTGCAGCTTTAGAGATGCCCTCTAATTTTGTCTCTCTCTCTCTCTCTCTCTCTCTCAGGTATCCCAGAAGATGACAGCACGTTGTCCAAGTCTGGTCAGAGTCAGCGACCCAAGGACCTGCCTGGGTGACAGTGAGTAGAGGGATCGTGGGGGCTGGGGCCTCGTGCCACACTCCTCAGATCTGGTGTCTGGTTTTCTTTCTCACAGCTGACTCCGAGTAGTGTGACGATGGCAGGAACCTCTGAGGCAGCCCTGGTGCCCCTCCTGTGCATCCAAGATGGATTGGCATCCCCTGCTCTCGGCAAGATAAGTGCAGGGCAAAGACCCAGAGAGGGGTTGGGAGTGGGTGCAAGTGTGTGCCTCACCTGGAGGGATTTTTGCAATTAGTCTGGTGCAGTGGGTATCCTGGGACAGGTTATTTGGACACATCAAAGGAAGGGCTTTTTTTTTATCATGGGATTCCCGTGTGCAGGGCAGAGCAGTTCCAGTCTGTGTCATGTCCTTTGTCTGCTCCGTGTTCTGTGTCACGTGGTGTGTGTGGTCACAGGTGTGGGGTGTGTCACTTGGGGTCAGCCTGGACCTGCTCTGCCCTGCTCGTGGATCAGTGGGTAGATGGAATGTGGCTCCGAGTCTCAGGTCAGCATGTCAGTTCCCTTAGACAGTGGAGCCGATGGCTGTCCAGTCTGTGAGCAGGATGGTCTTGCGCTGCCCTGCTGGGGTGTATGGAGTCCTGGCTGGGTAGAGTAGGAACCAGTGTCTAGGGTTTGGAGGTTTTTGGCTTTCGTTGTGAGCAATCCCTGAATGTTTGAGAGCTGAGTGTTTGAGCATTTGCCCATTTCTTTTGCAGGGGGGGTGTTGGGAGCAGCTGAAGAGAGAGGAGCCTTGTAGGTGAGTTGGGGAGGCAGCAGGAGGAGCGGGGATCCACTGCAGCTTTAGAGATGCCTTCTAAGTTTGTGTCTCACTCACCCAGGTATCCTGGAACGTGACATCCACAGTGTCGACTCCGGTCAGGGCCTGGGTGCTGGTGAGTAGGGGGATCACTGGGGTTTGAGCCCCATGCCACACAACTCAGGTATTGCTTGTGGTTTTCTTTCTTGCAGTTGACTCTGAGTAGTCTGATGATGGCAGGAACCTCTGAGGCAGCCCTGGTGCTCCTCCTGTGCATCAAAGCTGGATTGGCATCCCCTGCTCTCGGCAAGATAAGTTCAGGGCAAAGGCCCAGAGAGGGGTTGGGAGTGGGTGCAAGTGTGTGCCTCACCTGGAGGGATTTTTGCAATGAGTCCGGTGCAGGGGGTATCCTGTGAC